TCCCAACATACCCAGGTTTTGACCCCCTCTAAGGATCTCACTGATTGGCATATCAAAGACAGCCCAATCCAACACCTAGTGCAGTATCATAATTGAGTCTAGGGATCAGGTGTAACATTCCAGTTTTGCCCACTAATCAACAAGGTCTAGGGCAATACTAGAATTCTGGTCCGGTTCAAGGTTTCAAGTAAACCTACACTGCATGTACCTCGGGTCTCACCCTGGCAACTGAGACAGGCTACCCCATCCAACTTGGCGGCACATCAGTGTCAACCTTATCAGGATAAATCTCCCCAGATCTATCCAACGGTTGTGAACGTTCTAAACTAACACGAGTCTCATATGTGTCCAGTTTAAGGGTATTACACAGAAACACACCATAATAACATGAATCAAATATGCACTTTATTCATTTACATTAAATGTCATAAGGTACATCATTTCGATTGGAGCTAAGGGCATACACTGTCTAACAATCCCCGGTCTGGAGCACCTTTCAAGTATCTCAATACTCTTACAACACCTTCCCAGTGAATGACTATGGGATTCTGCACAAACTAACTCAGAGCCCCTGCACTAAAGGAGATATCAGGACGGATGATGGTGAGATAAATCAGTTTGCCCATTAATCTCATTTCTCATGTACCTTCTAGGATCACCAAATGGCTCCCCCTAACTATCAATCATTTTCACATTAAGATCCATAGGGTTCTCAACTAGTTTAGCCCCTAGTAGATCTGTCTCATCCAACAAATCCAAGACATACTTGTGTTGTGACAACTGACAAGGAGATTCCCCACTTCAAACGGGCTATTTCAATACCCAGTAAATGTTTGAAGGATCCTAAATCCTTGGTTTGAAAGTGCTGCTGCAAAAACCATTTTAAATCATTAATCCCACTAACATCACTACCAGTAATGACTATGTCATCAACATACACCGCCAGAATGATCTTCCCAGATGTGGTATATCTACTGAAGACTAAATGATCAACTCCACATTACTTGAGACCAAAC